GGGTGCCTCGTGCCGTCTTGGGCCATCTTGAGGCACTTTTGGGCCGTCTTGGGTGCATCTTGGCCGTCTTCGGTCCATCTTGGAGCCATCTTGGACTCTTTTGGAGCCATCTTGGCCGTCTTGGAGGCCATCTTAGCCGTATTGGAGGCTATCTTGTGGCATCTTGGAGCCGTCCAGAGCGGAGAGACCCATGCCAACCACCCTGCCTGGAGCTTTCCAGGTTGCCGGCGCAATAAGCCGAACCCCCAGGGGAGTCTTGAAACAAACCAGCAATGTCTAAGAAGTCTGGCACGCCAGGCGCACCTGTGATGAGTCAACAGGGGGCGGTGGATCGAAGACGCTTACGGCGAATCACTGCCGCCCCCTGCCTTTTGGAAGCGTCTATCTGGCCGAAAGCTGGGCCAGAGCTATCGGACCATGTGCTCCCCCAGCTGTCGTTGAAACCTTTTGGGGAATACGTGAGGAAGAGGATAATGAGGAGAAGAAGAATTAGCCTGGCGAGGGACCCAACCATATGCAGCTCTGAGCACCGCCGTCGTGAGTATCGTCTTCGATGGAGCTCCCTATGAGGCCACGAAACGTGTGAGGGGTGTGCCGAAATGGGTTCAGCGGCGCCATGCGAACTCTGCACTGGGGCCTTCGGTGGAGCTCCCTGTGGGGCCACGAAACGCGCGAGGGGTGTGCCACGATGCGGCGGCGCCGCCATGCGAACCCTGCCACTGGGACCTTCAATGGAGCTCCCTATGGGGCCACGAAACGTGGTGTGTGTGTGCGTGTGTGTGGGTGTGTGCGTGCGTGTGCCAAAATGCGGCGGCGCCGCCATGCGACCCCTGCCGCTGGGGCCTTCGGTGGAGCGCCCTATGGGGCCACGAAACGTGAGGGGTGTGTGCCAAAATGGGGCGGCGACGCCATGCGACCCCTGCCATTGGGGCCTTCGGTAGAGCTCCCTACGGGACCACGGAATGTGTGAGGAGTGTGCCGAAATGGGGCGGCGCCGCCATGCGAACCCTGCCACTGGGGCCTTCGGTGTAGCTACCTATGGGGCCACGAAATGTGTCAGGGGTGTGCCAACATGGGGCGCCACCGACATGCGAACCCTGCCACTGGGGCCTTCGGTGGAGCTCCCTATGGGGCCACGAAACGTGTGAGGGGTGTGCCACGATGCGGCGCCGCCGCCATGCGAACCCTGCCACTGGGGCCTTCGGTGGAGCCCCCAATAGGGGCCACGAAGCGTGTGAGGGTTGTGCCGAAACGGATGATGATGATGATGATGATGATGATGCTGATGATGATGATGATGATGATGATGATGATGATGACGATGATGATGATGATGATGATGCTGATGATGATGATGATGCTGATGATGATGATGATGCTGGTGATGATGATGATGATGATGATGATGCTGATGCTGATGATGATGATGATGATGATGATGATGACGATGATGATGATGATGATTATGATGCTACTGATGATGATGCTGATGCTGATGATGCTGATGCTGATGCTGATGATACGGATGATACTGTGATGATACTGATGCTGATGATGATGATGATGATGATGATGCCGATGATGATGTCGATGATGATGATGCCGATTATGCTGATGATGATGCTGTTGCTGCTGCTGCTGCTGATGATGATGATGATGATGCTGATGATGATGATCATCATCATGATGATGGGGGGAATGAAGGATGGGGGAATATGGAGGCGGGAGGAGGAGGAGGATACCGCGGGGCGTTGTCTCATCATAACGAGGATCCACCACAACAGGATGGTTGGGGAGACAGGAGTCGGATGATGAGGATGAGGAGGACGAGCAGGAGGAGGAGGAGGAGGAGGAGGAGGAGGAGGAGGAGGAGGAGGAGGATGAGGAGGAACAGTAGGAGGAAGAGGAGGAGGAGGAGGCGGAGGAGGAGGAGGCGGAGGAGGAGGAGGAGGAGGAGGAGGAGGAGGAGGAGGAGGAGCAGGAAGAGAAGGAGGACGCCTCTTGGAAGCCTCCTGGGGCGCTCTTGGGATGTCGTGGGAGCTGCATGGAGGCCTCTTGGCGACCCCTTGGGGGCCTCCTTGGGCCTCTTGGGTGCCTTTTCGAGCTTCTTGGGAGCCGCTTTGGCCGTCTTCGGGCGTTCCTGGCCCGTCTGACGCCGTCGGACGCTGTCTTGGATGCCCCTCTGAACCGACTGGGGGCCCTCTTGTGGCGCTTCAGGGCCATCTTGGAGGCCATCTCGGGCGTCTTGGAGGCCGTCTTGGGGCCATCTTGGAGGCCTTTGGGGCCATCTTGGGGCGATCTTGGTGAGCTCTTAGCCGTCTCGGGCCGTCGAACGACCGAACAGAAGCACATGCCACAATTCTTCGACGACCTAAGCAACCTCAATGATTCTGGCCTCTTCGGGCTTTCCTGGAGGACCTCTTGGCGACCTCTTGGAGACTTCTTGAGCCGTCTGGGAGGCTCTTGGGCCGTCTTGGGCAGTCTTGGACGCTTCTTGGGCGGACTTTGAGGTACCGCGGACCCTCTTGGGCCGTCTTTGAGGTCATCTTGAACCATCTTGGACCGTCTTGCAGGCCATCTTGGATCATCTTGGGGCGACTTTGGAGGCCCTGTTGGGGCCGTCTTGGAGGCTTCTTGGGCCGTCGTGAGGTCATATTGGACGCCGTTGGGGTCTTCTTGGGGAGATCTTGGGGGCCTCTTGGTCCATCTTGGGCTGTCGGAGGACCGACAAGACGCACATGCCAACACCCTTCAAACATCCAGAGGAAACCAGTACTTGAGGCCCGACTTGGGCGGTCTTGTAGGCTTGCTGGGGGGTTCTTGGGCCGTCTTTGGCCGTCTTGAAGGCTTCTTGGGCGGGCATGGAAGCATCTTGGACCCTCTTGGCCCGTCTTGGGGGCCATCTTGAACCATCTTGGGCGAACTTGGAGGTCTCTTAGGGCCGTCTTGGAGGCTTCTTGGGCTGTCATGAGGTCATCTTGGAGGCCTTTCGGGCCATCTTGGGGCGGTCTTGGGGGCGTCTCTGGCCGTCTTGGGCTGTCGGAAGGCCGAAAAGAAGCAGCTGCCAACATCCTTTGCAAACCCAAAACATACAACTGATTTTGGCCTCTTCGGGCCCTCCTGGAGGACCTCTTGGAGGCCACTGGGGCCTCTTGAAGCCATCTTGGGCCGTCTGGGTGGCTTCTTGGGCGGACTTGTAGGCATATGGGACCCTCTTGGTCCGTCTTGAAGGCCATCTTGGACCACTTTGGCGAACTTGGAGGCCATCTTGGGCCATCTTGGCCGTCTTAGAGGCGTTGGTTGCGCAGCGGCGGTGTCTTCTGGGTGGCTGGCGGCATGGACCGAAGCCGTAGGATATAGCACGCCAGGCACCCCTGTGATAAATCAACAGGGGTCGGCGGATCGAATACGCCTACGGCGAATCACAGCCGCCCCCTGGCTTTTGGAATCGCCCACGTGGCCGAGCGTTGTGGCAAGAGCTCTGCCAAGCTATCGGACCATGTGTTTCCCCCCAGCCGTTGTGGAAACCCTTCGGGGAACACTTGGGGGAGGATGGCGCGGAAGATCAGGATGATGATGATGATGATGATGATGATGATGATGATGATGATGATGATGATGATGATGATGATGATGATGATGATGATGATGATGATGATGATGATGATGCTGATGCTGATGATGATGATGATTTTGCTGATGCTGATGATGATGATGATGATGATGATGATGATGATGATGATGATGATGATGATGATGAGGATGAGGATGAGGATGAGGATGAGGATGAGGATGAGGATGATGATGATGATGAGGAGGAGGAGGAGGAGGAGGAGGAGGAGGAGGTGGAGGAGGAGGAGGAGGAGGAGGAGGAGGAGGAGGAGGCGGCGACGTGGGGTGGCGGCGTGGCAGGCGATCTTTTCGTCGCGGCGCCAGCGATCGCGCGGCGCGGTCGGAGCCCAGGTGGGAGGCGGGAGGGCGCACGGCGCACAAGGTGGCGGGGGACGGAGGAGCACGGCCGAGACGGAGGGAACCAGGAGGGCAGCGCTTGAAGGCCGTGAAGGGCCTCGTGGGCCTTGAAGGTCCTCGTGGGCTGTCCTCCCCTTCTTTCGCCGCCAGACGATTGGCGCTTGCCTGCTCCCGGCCCACTCGAGCGCGTGTGCGGACTGCCTCGGCCGCGCTGCGGCGTGGAAAGTGCTGCCGCCTCAGGCTCTGGGTAGGAGTCGTGCGGCGTGCAAAGTGGGCGAGAGCGCTCCGAGCTGGGACTGGCCAGGGAGAGCGGAGCGAGGTTTGAGGAGGACCAAGGAGCGGGGTAGCTAGGGGGGAGGGCAGCCAGGCGCGACGCTACCGTGTCAGGAGGCGGTCGCTGCGAAGACGCCGCGAGGCGGCCACGTAGCTTCCGTGGTGTCTCCATGTAGCGTCCGAAGCCGTTTCGGCTTACGCCGTTTTGGTGCAGCCAATTCTGTCTCGGGCCATCCTGGAGCAGCTTGTGTGCTCCAGCGCCAGCCGAGGGCCAGTGCCGAGTCGACTTCCTCCTTGGTGCCTTTGCTGCTGTATCGGAAAGCCTCTCCGTGCGGCGCCTCTTTGCGCGGCGCCCGCGTTTTTGCCCTCGCGGCTTTCGGTGTAACCGCTGCCGTGCGCGACTAGCCGTGTGAAACCTAGGTCGGCTGTCCCCATGCTCATGCAGCGGGCACGAGCTAAGCAGATCGTGCAGCGGGCCAAAGCCCGGTCCTACATGAATCCTTCCGCCAGAATCCGAGACAGGTGGCTGGCGGCGAGAGGTTCACCACCAACACTGGCATATATCAATCAACTTCCGAGACCATTCATCACGACGGCCGCAAGCTGCAGAGCGGAAGGTCGCATTGCCTTACTGGAGGCGGCAGGCTTTGACCGCGAGGCCGTGTTGAAGATGGCGTCGTCAAGTGCTGGGATACGACGTGGAGAGCCGCATTGCCCTGCTAGAGGCGGCGGGCTTCGACCGCAAGGCCGTGTTGAGGATGGTGTCGTTCTTTCCTCCAGTGTTGGGCTTGGATGTGGAGAGCCGCATTGCCCTGCTAGAGGCGGCGGGCTTCGACCGCAAGGCCGTGTTAAAGATGGCGTCGTCACATCCCCCCAGTGCCAGGCTTCGATGTGGAGAGCTGCATTGCCCTGCCAGAGGCGGCAGACTTAAGGCCGCGTTGAAGATGGCGTCGTCACATCCCCCAGTGCCAGGATACGGTGTGGAGAGCCGCATTGCGCTGCTAAGGGCGGCGGGCTGCGACCGCAAGGCCGCGCTGAAGATGGCGTCCTCCAGTGCTGGGCTACGACGTGAATAAGAACATCTGGCCGACGCTGGGCTTCCTGCTAGCGGCCCATGAAGATGTTACAGACATCGAGTCGCACCCCAGGTACTTTCCACCTGGGCCGCGGCGGTGCCCTTCTCCAGGGCGGCGGCGCGAGGGCGCGAACGCAGCCGCGCGGCGCGCACGGCGGGGCGCGAAGCGCGCGGCTAATGGCTAGGCGACCCAGACCATGAGCGGGCGCAGACCTGCCCAGGGCCAGGCGGCAGCGGGCGGCAACGGCGAGGGGCAGCGCGAGCCCCGCCGACAATGCCCCCGCCTTTTGGCAGCTTCGGCACGGAGGGGCGCCCCCCGCGAGCGAGGAGGGCGAGGGGCCAGGGACCTCGGCGAAGGCACTCGGTGCACCGGCGCTCCGGCATCCCGCAGCCTGGGCTGGCCAGCTGGGGCGTGCGTGCGCCGAGAGCCCCTGGCCGACCAGACCCTCTCCCAGGGAGGCTCCCAAGACGGCTGAAGACACCTCCAAGACGGCCTCAGGGAGGCCCAGGAGGACCCCAAGACGGTCCAAGAGCGCTCAAGAACGGCCCAAGATGGCCTCAAGACGGCCAAAGCGGCCCTCCAGACGCTCCAAGAGGCCCTCAAGAGGATCCCAGAGCAGCAAACATCGTCCCATTCCTGAGGGAAAGCGTGCATTTTATTGATTTTCTCGTTCTCATACTGTCTACGACGGCCCAAGAGGCCCCCAAGACCGCCCCAAGACGGCCCAAGAGGCCTCCAAGAGGGCCCTGAGACGGTTACACGCACCACGTCGCACCAGAGATATTTCTCCTATTCGCTGGAGGGCAGGATTATGCCAAGATTATTGGAATTGCAAGGGGTTGGCATACTGCCGCAATCGCGCGACGATGCTGTTTTATTCCCAACCCTCCTGCGTTGGGTTCTCGTTTTGAATAGAGCACTGCTCGCGCGAACCTTCCTTCCTTCCCGTCCCTCTCTCCCCCCCCTGCCTTTTACCTGGCTCGTCGCTGCGTTTCGAGGGCTGCTGGGGGCTGCGATCTGTGAAACTGCCGCCAGTTTCGAGGGCTGCTGGAGGGCCCAGCACAGTGGGTACCCACGGCGGATTCAAATGGGACCTCGCCATCCCTGGGGGGCTGCGATCTGTGAAACTGTCGCCACTTTCGAGGCCTGCTGGGGGGCCCAGCACAGTGGGTACCCACGGCGGGTTCAAATGGGACCTCGCCATCCCTGGGGGGCCGCGATCTGTGAAACTGCCGCCACTTTCGAGGGCTGCTGGGGGTCCAGCACAGTGGGCACCCACGGCGGATTCAAAAGGGACCTCGCCATCCCTGGGGGGCTGCGATCTGTGAAACTGTCGCCACTTTCGAGGCCTGCTGGGGGGCCCAGCACAGTGGGTACCCACGGCGGATTCAAATGGGACCTCGCCATCCCTGGGGGGCTGCGATCTGTGAAACTGTCGCCACTTTCTTACCTCGCTCGTCGCTGCGTTTCGAGGGCTGCTGGGGGCTGCGATCTGTGAAACTGTCGCCACTTTCGAGGGCTGCTGAGGGGCCCAGCACAGTGGGTACTCACCGCAGACTCAAATGGGACCTCGCCATCCTTTGGGGGCTGCGACCTGTGAAACTGTCGCCACTTTCGAGGGCAGCACAGTGGGTACCCACGGCGGATTCAAATGGGACCTCGCCATCCCTGGGGGCTGCGATCTGTGAAACTGTCGCCACTTTCGAGGGCTGCTGAGGGGCCCAGCACAGTGGGTACTCACCGCAGACTCACATGGGACCTCGCCATCCCAGGGGGGCTGCGATCTGTGAAACTGTCGCTCCTTTCGAGGGCTGCTGAGGGGCCCAGCACAGTGGGTACCCACCGCAGACTCATATCAGACCTCGCCATCCTTGGGGGGCTGCGATCTGTGAAACTGTCGCCACTTTCGAGGGCTGCTGAGGGGCCCAGCACAGTGGGTACTCACCGCAGACTCAGATTAGACCTCGCCATCCCTGGGGGGCTGCGATCTGTGAAACTGTCGCCACTTTCGAGGGCTGCTGAGGGGCACAGCACAGCGGGCTTCCCGCACGTCTTTCTCCTGCTCTTCGTTCCCGACTCCCCACGTCCTCTTCGAGCCTGTAGTTGTCGCCCCTCGTTCTTGTATGGTTCTCCTGCGCATCATGCCATTGGCGCGTGTCCCAAGTAACTTACATATCAAACAACGGATCCTGCAATTTGATTGTCCGTGCAAGTTTCGGCCAACTCCTCGTTTCCCATGATACAAATGGGTTGGGTACGTCACAGGGTAATCGCTAACCGATGCTAGATTCTCTATGCGATTACGCTTGCACATTGAGCGTGTCTGTGTCGCAACTTCAAGCGGTTGTACAAGACACGAGACGCTGACATGGTATTTGCGACGTGGCCAGGGAGGTTGTCTGGGATCGGCACGAGCCAGATGTCATGCAGAGGTCTGGACCCTTTCCCCAGGACCGGTTTTTCGTCCGGAGTCGTGCTTTGACGGTCCCGGGGCCAGGAGGAGGAGGAGGAGGAGGAGGAGGAGGGAGGAGGAGGAGGAGGAGGAGGAGGAGGAGGAGGAGGAGGGGAGGAGGAGGAGAGGAGGAGGAGGAGGAGAGGAGAGGGGAGGAGGAGGAGGAGGAGGAGGAGGAGGAGGAGGAGGAGGAGGAGGAGGAGGAGGAGGAGGAGGAGGAGGAGGAGGAGGAAAGGAGGAGGAGGAGGAGGAGGAGGAGGATGGAGAGGAGGAGCAGGAGGAGGAGGAGGAGGAGGAGGAGGAGGAGGAGGAGGAGGAGGAGGAGGAGCAGGAGCAGGAGCAGGAGGAGGAGGCGGAGGAGGAGGAGGAGGGGAGGAGGAGGAGGAGGAGGAGGGGGGAGGGAGGAGCGGGAGGGGGGGGGGAGGGGGAGGGGGAGGGGGAGGGGGAGGGGGAAATCCTGGCTCGAGGTGGAAGTATTTTTATGTTTCGTTCCATATCGGCCTGTAGGGGGGCATGCCCGACCGAAGGCTAGGATACCTCGGACGCGAGCGGGCTCTGCTGGAAGGAGCCAGGCTCGCCCGACACGGTGTCGCCCACGTCGGCTTCGCCCGCGGGCGAGACTGGCTCGGGCGAAACCCTCGCGGGCACTTCCCTGAGATCCTGGCGACGCAATTTTTCCACAACGGGCGCTTGCGCCCGGTTTCGGGCCCCGGGACCCTCACACATCGATCCGTCTCGAAAAATGTTCAATTTTCCGTGCCGGCGGATCTCAGGGTTCACCTGGCGAAACCTTCACAGGGCGAAGTCGGCCCAGGCGAAAGCGACTGGGCGAAGACGACCCGGCGAAAACGACGGGGCGGGGGGAAGGGATGATGCGAAAGCCGATCGGACGCACGCGATCGGGCGCAAGCGATCGAGTGAAGACGGCCAGGAAATCGGCGGAGCGAACGCAGCCGGGCGAAACCGACCAGGCAACACCAACCGGGCGAAACCGACCGGGCGAATCCGACCGCGAAATCGACCAGGCGAAACCGACCAGGCGAAACCGACCAGGCGAGACCGACCGGGCGAAACCGACCAGGCGAAAATTATTGGACGAAAGTAGCTGGGCGAAACCGAATTTGCGAGGCCGATCGGGCGATGCCGCTCAGGGTACTCTGCTCGGGCGCATCTTCGTTGCGAATCCTGACGGGTCCTCCTATTCTCCACTCTCGCTCTCCTGGCTTCTGCCCCTCCTGTGTGCTGTTTCTCCTGCCGCATCTTCCTGCTTTCTTTTCCTTCGGCCTTCCCGCTTTTCCTTCCCCCCTTCTTGATCTTTCTCCTGCCGCCACTTCTCCATTTTCTGCTCCAGTTTCGCCCGGTCGGTTTTGCCCGCTCGGTTTCGCCCGCTCGGTTTCGCCTGGTTCTTTGACCCAGGCGCCGTCGGAACGTTTGGTTTCGAGCTGTATTGCGCTCGTTGCTGCTGGCGCTGTCCGCAGTTCGTCCCCCTATTGTACCTCTACCCTCGTCCCCCTACCCTAGTCCTGCACGTGCTGCACCGCGCTCCTCCTCGCCCGCCCCTCCCCCCATCCGACCCCGCGCTCCTCCGCCCGCCCACGCGCCGCACAACGCCGGACCCCTCGGAGCAGCATTTCCGCCCCGCAAGATCGGCTAACAGAGGAAGCAGGATTTGGAGAAGAGTAATGTGAAGGAGAAATACAACAGAAGGATTGCAAAACAAAGGAGCTGGGGAAAGTACCCGAGAAGGCGAGCGACAGTCTCCCCATCAACAACCAGTGTGTCGCAGAGAAGAAAACACAACGACCAAGATAGCCAACATGCGCCATAGATGCGGCATCTTTGCGGGCACTGCGCTCCGAAAAACGAGAGGAGGAGGAGGAGGTGGAAGAAGAGGAGGAGGAGGAGGAGGAGGAGGAGGAGGAGGAGGATCGGATTGGACTCGGATTCAACGCTGAGTTCGCGACTAGAACCGACGGGAAAATACATAGGAGGTTGGAGGAGGAGTAGGAGGAGGAGGAGGAGGAGGAGGAGGAGGAGGAGGCGGAGGAGGAGGAGGAGAGATAGTAATCGCGAGAGGAACAAGACATCTCAGTACGGTGACGCCAGACGAAGCGAGAACAAAAAGGCAAGAGGATGAGCAGAGCAAGGCAGAAGGAAACAAAAACCGACGGGGCGAAAATCGCCAGGCCAAAACCACCGGGCGGAAAACATTCCGCGCGAAGAGCACTGAGCGAAGAGCCCCGAGCGAAGAGCACTGGGTGAAAGAACACCGGGCGAAACCGGCCTGGCGACAACCACGGACGAAGACCACCAGGCGAAGCCGACGCCGGGCGAAGCCAACCGGGCGAGACCCGCGCTGGGCGGGAACGCATCTGGGCCAGGCGGCAGCGGGCGGGAGCGGCGCGAGGGGCGGCGTGAGCCCCTGCAACCATACCCCTGCCCCTTTGGCAGCGGCGGCGCGGAGGGGCGCCGCCGCGAGCGAGGAGGGCAGCGGGCAGCGGCGGCGCGAGGGCGGCGAACACAGCCGCGCGGCGCGCAACGCGGGGCG